GCTGCCAGCGCACCTGGAGGGGCCCCGCTCGGCCCGAGTGCGCCTTGGCCTGTGCCCCGACCTTGTCCCAGCGCGCGCAGAGCTCGGCGTCGATCCCGTGCAGCACGGCGTCCCAGAGCTGGACCAGCCCGTCGGACTCCGAGACCACCTGGGCATCCGCCGCCAGCGGCCCCCAGTCGCAAGGCGGCCTGGCACACCCAGGAGGGGGCAGCGCCGAGAGCGGCCTGGGCTCGTCGGCCACCCTGCACCAGGCTGGGCGATCGCAGCCCCGCATCCGCAGGTGCACAGGGCGGTGCGGGTACAAGTCAGAGTCGAGCTGTGCTGTCACCTGGCTGTCAAGCCTGGAGACCAGGTTCGACGACGCTGCCATGAAGTCGATGATGGAGCCCTCCCCCTGAACGCAAGTCACGTCCCCGGGGGCGAAGGGAATGGCACGAACCGACAACAGCGCCTCGCGGAGCCCCTCCACATCGGAGGCCATATTCCAGTCGCCCATGATGACGAAGTCCTCGCCCTGGGCGTTGAGCTGGCAACAGTACTCGAAAACTCTCCACAGCACATCCAAGTTGGGCCCCGCGAAGCCCACGGAGTCCACACAGTAAAGACTGATGCAGACCAGGCCCTGCGGGATGCCCCAGTGAACCCGAGCTGCGGCTGCACGGCCAGGGACGAGGGTCCCGTCGGCCAGGCCAGGGGCCGTGGTGAGGGGCACGAAAGACGGGACCAACACCGCGGCGCCGCTGGTTGTGCTCTGCGCTGCCGTCTCCAAGCCAGCCGTCCAAGCCCCATGCCAGCCCAGATCCGCCAGACGATTCTGCATCTCGCCCAGCCTGGCCTGAGGAATGCGGTGCTCCTGCACGGCAATTACCCGCACCTCGTGCGACACCTCCGCCACGTAGTCGAACATCGGGCCGAAGGAGGAAGTGTTGGCCGAGACCAGCGTGCCGACGAACTCGCTCGAGGCCTCGGCAGCCTGGCGACCACCAGAGGCGGGCCCGGCGGAGCTGGCGGCCGCTGCGGCCACGGCGGCGCCTCTGGCGGTCCCGCCAGCGCGCCCGGCGGCCCTGGCAGGGGCCCGCACGCCAGCAGCCTCGACCAGGAAGGTAGGCACCCAATCCGACGGCGCGAGCTGATCAGCCCGCACGGGCCCGCACGGGCCCGGGGGGTCCACGCCGGGGGCGCCCGGGGCCTGCGCGGGAGTGAGTCCGCAAACGGCGGGTGCGGACACACTCCCGCCCGCACGGGGGCGGTGGCCGGGGCCCACGGCGGCCCCAGCGGCGGCCCGCGCGGCGGCGGCAGCGGCGGCCGGGGCCCGCGGCGGCGGCGGCGGCGGCCGGGGCCCCGGGGCGGCGGCGGCCCAGACTGGCCCCCGGTGCGTGCCGGCGCGCACGGAAGCGCCAGCTGCGTGGACGAAATCGTCTGGGCGGGGGGCTCCCGCGGCGGCCCCTGGCACCTCGGGAGCAGGAGGTGCCTCTGCGTACTGGGCCATAAACTCGGCCGCGTCGTCGACCTCCTCCAGGGGGTCGATCTCGTTGTCCATCGTGGTGCACGCCATCATGATCACGACAAGGCAAGCAGACCGAACGCGATTTAGCGGGTACCACCGATTATGACGTCGCAGCGCCCGCTTGGGTCTTGAGCCGCTTGGCCTGGCTCTGGATCGCCTCGTTGATGACGCGAGCCCGCTCGATGGTGACGCTCTCGGCCTCCTCGGCGGGCACCTGGAAGCCCATCGACTCCACGAACGAGCGAACGTCCTCAGCCGTCGTGTCAGCACCCAGGAAATCGAAGCTGCCAGGCGTGCCAGGAGCCGCGACGGGAGCAGCAGGCCCCTCAGCACCAGCGCCAGGAGGCCCGCCAGGAGGGGCTCCAGGGGCGCCGCCCGCAGGGCCCTGGGGCGTGCCAGGCGCCGCTCTCTGGGGCTCAGCCTGGGCCGCGCGAAGCCCAGCGACGTGGCTGGCCAAGGCGGCCTGGAAGGTGGCTTCGATCGTCTCGGAGCCCCCCAACCCTCGCAAGAGCGAGGAGAACTGCTGCATGGTGACCTCGAGCCTCGGCACCACGGCGTCCAGCGTGACGGCTTCTGGCGCCAAGGGAGCCTGGGCCGCCAACGCCATGTTGTCCGCCTCCAGCTGCACCATGAGCGTCCGAGCCTCGGCCGCGGCGCGGGTCGCCACGTCCAGGTCCGCCGTAATGGCGGCGAGCTTCTCCTTGAGGCCCGCCACCTGCAGGTCGCAGGCGGTGATCCGCTGGCGCTGCTTGGACATCTTGGTTGCGAGGTCGCGCTGCCGCACGTCGAGGGGCTTGGACGCAACCAGGGTGCGGCGCAGCTCGTCGCGCTCCTGCACGAACTTGGGCCGAGACTCCTGGTAGAAGGGGTCTCCGCGCTGGCCGGGGGCGTCGCAGTAGGCAATCTGCCGCTCGAGCCATTGAAGACGGTCACGGCGTTGCTCGGTTGCGCGCTCCGGAGGAGAGGCCGCGTCGCCGTCGACCCCGAGGTCCATGGCGTCGCGAGCGGTCCCGTCCCGTGCACGGGCCAGCTGCGCCTCCAGCTCGGCGATGCGCTTGCGCATTGCGTCGCCAGACCCAGCGCCAGAGCCGCCGTCACCACCGCCGCCAGCAGCGCCCTTGCGACGCCTGGAAGGCGCCAGGCTGTCGGACGGGACGGTGTCCTTGAAGCACGCGCCCTTGTGGATGCCGCACTTGCCGCAAGCCTTCGACGTGCCCCAGTTCCGCCACGGGGTCCCATCCTTGCGAAGGCAGGACTTGCACCTCCACGGCTGCGCATTCTCGGCACGAGACCAAGGAACCATGGGCACGCTCCGACAGGAGCCCACGAAACGGATGGGCTGCCAGAAGCCCGTGCAGTACTGGCAAAGCTGTCAGGCGCAAGGCCTTGGCACTGCTGCGGACTAGCAGCTTCCGATTTGGCACGAGGGCGCGGAGCCCTCAGGTGCAGAAGTCTTGAGCCAAAATGGCTACGGAGGAGGAGGAGGAGGAGAAGCAGGAGGAGCAGGAGGAGCAGGAGGAGGAGGGAGGAAGGAGGAGGAGGAGGAGGAGGAGAGGAGAAGGAGGAGGAGGAGGAGGAGCAGGAGGAGGAGGAGGAGAAGGAGGAGGAGGAGGAGGAGCAGGAGGAGGAGGAGGAGGGGACGGGGGGAGGAAAAGGAGGGGGGAGAAGGAGGGGGAGAAGGATGAGGAGGAGGAAGAAGAGGAGGAGGGAGGAGGTGGAGGAGGGGGAGGAGGAGGAGGAGGGAGGAGGAGGAGGAGGAGGAGAGAGGAGGAGGAGGAAGAGACGGAGGAGGAGGAGGAGGAGGAGAGGAGGAGGACGAGGAGGAGACGAGGGAGGAGGAGGAGGAGGACGACGAGGAGGTGGAGTGATTCTGGCCAGGAGGAGCAGCTGCAAGAGCAGCAGAGCAGGAGAGGCCCTGTGCGTTTGGGGGTAGGGGTGAAGCACCGTGGAAACCTAGGCCAAGAGACACCCTGTTTGCATCCAGGGTGCCCTGGGTTTCTTGGGCTTCAATGGTTTTGCTATGGGGAGCGCGACGCTCCCGCACAAAAAAACAACGGACGTCCTGGGGTCTCAGGGTTGGGTTTCTTGGGGAAGGTTTCTTGTTGTCGAGCTCCTACTGTAGGAGGGGGGTTGTCGACCTCAACTCCCTCTTCCTCACCTCCACCTTCCCTTCCCCCCCACACCCCACTTGCCGACCTCCTTCTGCCCCCCATCCTCCCCCCCCCACGGATCGAGGACAAGGACCGGGGGAGGGGGGGATGGGAAGGGGCTGGGGGTGGGGGCGGGGGGGGGGGCTTGCGGAGGGGGGCGGGAGGGGATGGGGAGGAACAAGAAGGACAAGGGGGAAGAGGGGGAATAGGAAAAGGGCTTGGGGGTAGGATGGAGAGGAGGAAGAGGAGGAAAAGGAAGAGGGGAAGAGGGAGGGAAAGACAACACTCCTGAGCTCCGCCACCAGAGGGGAAGGGAAGGAGGCGCGAGTGATTCATAAGCACAGCCGGGGCAGGCCAGAGGGGAGGGCATGAGTGGCCCCTCGGGCGCCTCGCAACGGGTTTGGGGCGGCAGAAGCGGGCGGGGGAGATCGAGGGTTGCAGGAAGGAGGGTAGCACAAAAAAGGCCCCCTGAAGGGCCCCGAAGAGGAGGAGGAGGAGGAGGAGGAGAAATGGGAGGGAGGGAAGAGGTTGAAGGTGCAGGGAAGTTGCACCCCTCGTCTTGGGCCGGACGAAAGGGCAGGATAGTTAGGGAAAGGGGGGGTGCTACGAAACCTGCCACATGCAACTTGTCTCGGCTCCGCCGCCAGGCCCACTCCTCGACATGCGGGCCCCTCCCGGCGCCCGGAGGCGCCAGGGAAGCCAGCTCTGCGTGGGCTGATTCTCTTACCCTCCCCTTTGCTACCCTTTCGTCCCCCCCTCCGCGGCAGCCCTCTCCTCCTCCAACTCCTCCTCCTCCTGCTCCTCCTCCTCCTGCTCCTCCTCCTCCTCCTCCTCCTCCTCCTCCTCCCCAACCCGAAGAGTTTATAGCCCCCCCAAGCGAGCAACGCCCGAGCCCGTGCCTTCCCAGGAGCGGGGCAAGGTGGTAGCAGGCGCGAAGCAGGGGCCTCTGGGAGACAACGACGACGACGATGACGACGACGACGACGACGACGACGACGACGACGACGACGACGACGACGACGGTGGCGACGACGACGACGACGACAACGACGGTGGCGGCGGTGGCGGCGGTGGCGGCGGCGGCGGCGGCGGCGACGACGACGACGACGACGACGACGACGACAGTGGCGGCGGCGGCGGCGGCGATGACGACGACGACGACGACGACGACGACGACGACGACGACGACGACGACGACGACGACGGCGACGACGACGACGGCGACGACGGGGACCACGACGACGACGACGACGACGACGACGACGACGACGACGACGACGACGACGACGATGGCCGCGGCGGCCATGGCGGCGGCGGCGGCGGCGGCGACCCGCACTGCCGAGGCTCTGGACGCTCGAGCGCTCGGCCGTGCTCGAGAGGAGCCAGGCGCCCAGGGCGCCGTGCAGCGGCCCCGTGAGAAGCCCCCCGGGGGCCTCCAGGGACTGTGGTGCAGTGGCCACACCGCGTGGCGGGTCAGCTCCCAGGGAGGCTCGCGTCGTGAGAGAGTCGCGACGGCATGTGCTGGGCTGCTGTCGGACTCTCGGGGCCCTCGCCGGGCCCCAGGGACCTTCGAAAAACGGCGCGGGGTGAAAAACCGGCTGCAGGGAAAGGGTCGGGGCGTCCAGCTTCCAGGGGCCTTGCATTGAAAAAGTGAGACACCGCATGCGAGGTGGGGATTCGGGGTGACCGCACGGTTTTGGGATTCGGGTCGTTCGCCGAGGGCGTCTCTGACGCCCCAAAACAGTGCGGTACGGGCCGTACGGCGAGGTCGTTGGGGATTCCGGGGTGATCACACGGTCTGTCAGCGCACCGTTGCAGGGGATTTGTAAGGGTCCCTTGCGGTGAGGAGCGGTCTCGTCGCCAGCGTCGTCGTCGACGTCTCGCAGGAGGGAAGGGTGCCGATACCGCTGCCCAGGTCGCGTCTTCGCCTCGAACTTCTGGTCAGAACGCACCCAGGAAGAAGGTCCAGGGGGTAGCCGTTGTCTGATTGTTTCCCCAGACGTCGCCCTCCGCCTCCTCCCCCGCTCCTCCCGATGACAACAGCAGGACCTCGGCGCGAAGTGACAGATCGTCGAGATGGTTTCGGCAGGGGCCCGAATGCTACAGAGCAAGCGAGGCGAAGGCTGGTGTGTGGTCGACTCTGCGGAGCTCCGAGGCTGGTTCGTTCGTTCGTTCCTCCCCTTCCTCCCTCTTCCTCCTCCTCCTCCTCCTCCTCCATCCCCTGTCCTTATACATGCTCCTCCCTCGTCGCACCACCAGTCGTGTCGTTTGGGCGGTCCCCGGTGTTTTCGCCCGAGACTTCATCATTGCGCACGAACTTTGAGGCATCAAGCCGTTACGAAGACGAAGGGCCAGTCGTGTTCAACATCGGGCAATGATCCTCGCCTCGGCGCCGCGCACATCCGTCTGAAGATGTCCCCGCAGTTACACGGATGGAGGGGGGTCATTTTCCAAATGGGGTTCTGGCCTTGACGCCGCGAACCTTCGTTCTTAGAATGCCAAAAATTTGACATTTACACGAATGGAGGGCTGAGTATCTTCAATATCAGAATTGAATGTTTGCTTGAGTGCCGCAAACAGTCGTCTTAAACCCAAAACAGCGACAGGATGGAGGGTAATTCCTTTTCAACATGAGGTTCTCGATTGCTACTTCTTGACAAGGTATTGCCACAACTACAGAGTTGCGCAACACTTGCATGGATGGAAGGTGGATCGGTTTCGAAACGGGCTATCGTTTGATGATTTGCAGCGCTTGATGGCCAGATGGTTGTAATTTTCAACAGCCTCAACAGCTACAGGATAAAAGGGGGTTCCTTTCAGAGCGATCTGTCGTTGGGCATTTCCTCCAATTTGATGGCGCCACTATGTCGCAGTTCTTCGACCAGGAAACTTGGAGGGCTGCTTCTGTCGAAAAACAGACTTCTCGCTTGAATTGTGGGCCAATGCGGCACTAGCCTTTCAAGGGGGGGTGGCGTTTCGCCCAGCGCAGACAACGTCTACAGGGACTCTGCACGGCAGGGCGCAGTGCAGAATCGTGGCTCGTTGTCGTGTTTGGCTTCGTCCCGCCTCCTCTGGTGTGCGTCCTGGCGCTCCGCGCGGCGCTCCCCTGCAGGGTCGCAACCTCCTCTCCTCCTGAGTGGCTTGTCCCTTTCGCGCTGACAGGCCTGTCCGTAGGCCAGGCCAGGCGCTTCGCTCGCCACAGAATTCTTGCGCTGAAGCCTGGAACCTCCAAAGATGGAGGGCCAATCGTTCTCAAAATGTGGCGGTGGCACTCGCCCTGGAGCCGAGGACATTCGTTCAATATCCTCCATCCGTTGTGAGGATGGAAAAGGTGGTCTTCGAAGTGCGGCTCTCGCCTGAGTGCCGCGCGCATCCCTGAAACAATTTCCAACCACTACAATGATGAAAAGTGGCGCGTGTTCTACATGCTGCTCTCGCTCGAGTCTTCCGCCATCTCCGCGACCCGGAGTTCCAAATTATGTAACCCCCACACGGGTGGAAGTTTGTTCCTACCAACATGGGATTCTCGTTTGAGAATGACGCGAGCTGCATGACAAGGATCTCGGAATTGTGCAACACATATCTGGACGGAGTGACACAGTTTCCAACATGGGGCTACGTCTTTGAACTCTATCCTATTACCTCTCTGGTGTCCTCCAACTAGAAGGATGGAAAGGGGGCCCTTCTCAACACCGGGTCGGGCTTGAGTTGCAGGCGCACCAGGCGCTCGTCATTCAGGAGGGCGCCTCCCGCAGTGGAGAGGAAGATGTGCAGGGACTCTTGAGGAGACGTGGGGGACGGGAGGGTCTAGTGCAGCATCGCTGAGGCACTCTGGATCTATGCCAAGAGGCCGGCGCCATTCCGCCGACCCCCAGAAGGGGCGTGGAGTCCACGGATGTTGAGGCGTCGTGGGTTTCTTGGGCATTCTGAAGGGATTATTGTGGGCGTCTTGGGAGCTGTTTGTGGGCCTGGGCGGAGCCTCTCGGAGGCAGCTTTGAAGCGTGTTGGGGGCCGCCTGGAGGCTTCTTTTGGACCTCTTGGGGGCCTCTTGGAGCTTATTGGAGGCCTTTTTGGGGCCGCTTGGGGGCTTCTTGGGGCCTTTGGGCGGCCGCTTGGGGCGGCAAGATCGGATTTTCGGTTCGCGTTGTCACTCTTCGCCTCTCTTGGGGCCCTCTTGGGGCGATCTGTGGCCGTAAGCCCCTCTTTGGCCGTCTTGGGGCCCTCTTGGGCCGTCCTGGGGCCCTCGTAGGGGCATCTTGGGTAGTGTGGGGGCGGTCTACGGGGCCTCTTGGGCCGCCTTGGAGCGTCGGAAGTTCGAGAAGACACTAACACCAGAAACATGTGTTTCCTTCTATATACATATATGTGCATATGTAAATGTGAAAGAAGAGCAAACAAACACAAAACAAACCACAACAAAAAACGCTGGCCCCCTTGCGAGGCCACCAGGCTGCATGCCGTGAATGTGTTGCTCCCTGTACTAGTTGCAGCTTCCAGTTTCCACTGTTACAGTTCTGATTATTGCTGCTTACTGTCCCTTGCTGATGAACGCGCGAGGGGGGGAGCCCAAACCAGCAGAACTACCACGCCCTGCAAGGGTTCTCAGAATTTCTGGGGGGTAAAAATTGACACCGGCATTTGCACATGTTTGAACTTCAGTGTCAGCCCTCGCGCAGATCGGCGGGGTCAGGGTCAAAAAACACATGGGATTTGCCAGATTTCTGAAATTCTGGGGCACCCCTCACACAGATCAGCGGGGTCAGGGTCCAAAAACACAAGGGATGTGTCACATTTCTGAAATTCGGTGGCACCCCTCATGGAAATCGGCGGGGTCAGGGTCCGTCGTGCGTGCGGGCGAGGCGAAGCTGCGTGGGCGCGCGAGAGGAGTGAACCCACCGCTGCTGGGCGAAGGCAAGACAAATGATTCTCCCCCGTCCGTCCGTCCGTCCAGCGGTGGCCCTAGCGGTGGCCCGCGGTGTCCCGTGGTGTCCCGTGGTGTCCCGTTGAGTGAGATCGATACTCAGATCGATATTGTGCCCCGAGGTGTCCCGTGGTGTCATGTGGAGTTCCGTTGAGTGAGATCGATACTGAGATCGATACTGAGATCGATGTGGTGCCCCGAGGTGTCCCGTGGTGTCTTGTGGTGTTCCGTTGAGTGAGATCGATAGTGAGATCGATAGTGAGATCGATGTGGTGTCCCGAGGTTTCCCGTGGTGTCCCGTGGTGTCTTGTGGTGTCTTGTTGAGTGAGATCGATAGTGAGACCGATAGTGAGATCGATAGGTGTCCCGTGGTGTCTTGTGGTGTCCCGTTGAGTGGGATCGATAGTGAGATCGATAGTGAGATCGACAAGTGTCCCGTGGTGTCCCGTTGAATGAGATCGATAGTGAGATCGATGTGGTGTCCCGAGGTTTCCCGTGGTGTCCCGTGGTGTCTTGTGGTGTCTTGTTGAGTGAGATCGATAGTGAGACCGATAGTGAGATCGATAGGTGTCCCGCGGTGTCCCGTGGTGTCTTGTGGTGTCCCGTTGAGTGGGATCGATAGTGAGATCGATAGTGAGATCGACAAGTGTCCCGTGGTGTCCCGTTGAATGAGATCGATAGTGAGATCAATTGAGGCAGATGTTGCTTCCCCACCGTCTCCCCCCCCACACAGCCTCCTCATCACCCGAAGGGTGGTCGTATAGGCATGAGGTTTCGCCTGGCGCCCGCCCGTGGACGCCCCGATAGCTTGCACCACGCAGAGTGCACCACGTAAGCTTACACCACGAAAAGCTTGCACCACATTGCTCGCACAACTCGAATGCACCATCTGGCTTGGACCGCATAGATCTTCCTCTCCAAGATGAAACTAGAACCTACCACTCCCTCCCTCTGATTTTATCGGTGCTACCTGGGATTGTACAATGTGCACGCGATGCTGCCCCATCGTTCGTTCTGAATTTGAATTCAAGCCGTCCCAGGGGTATCCGGTATCGCCCCCCCCCCCCCCATCCCTGTCAAATATTAAGATGCGCGCACTCGCGCATTTTCAATTACTCCGACGGTAGGACCCCCCATGAGAATTTGTTTAGCTTGCCCTTCGTCTTTTCCTCATCGTCCTGGCAGAGGCCCCCTTCCCGTCCACTACTTTACCTGCTCCTCTTCCTCCTCGTCCTCCTCCTGCTCCTCCTCCGAGCGAGAGAAATTCGGGGCTCCCTACAGGGGGGGGTCGCTCTTGTGCTGAACTGTGCGCGCGCACTACAGGCCGTACAGGTTGTAATGTACAACGTGTAGCTTTGTCGAGTGTAACTCTGACGTTGGCCCGATGCAGTCCTTGCCTTGTTGCCTCCTCCTCCTGCTCCCCCTCCCCCTCCTATTTTCCCTCCTATTTTCCCTCCTCCTTTTCCTCCTCCTTTTCCTCCTCCCCCTCCTCCTCCTTCTCCCTGTTCTTAGCCTCCTCCCGCCTCCTTCGTTGCCCCGTCCTCTCCCTCCTTCCTTTTCTTCCCCTCCGCCACCTCCGGCATTTTTATTGCAAGGGCGCATATCGGTTTTCAATTGCCAGGGCGTGCGCGCCAATTCTCTTTGGCGCCGTCGCCGCTTCGGCCAGCACGGGCGCGCTCTCCGTCGGCCAGACCGCGAAGCCGTTGGGGCAACCCCGCGGGCCAGGCCGTCGGGACAACCCCGCGCGACGGTGGCTCTGGAGACCAAGCCGTTTGGACAACCCCGCGGGCCTCTAGCTGCGGCTCGCCGCGCCCAGGCGGGAGGCAGCGCGAAACCCAGCTCTGCTGCGAGCTGCTCCGCCTCATCCCTTGAGCTCACCGATGTTTTGTCGAACTTCCTGAGCGCCAGCCGCAAGGACGCTGGCGGCCCGCGTTCCGCAACCTCGCGCGAGGGCGGCCAGGGGATCAGCATGTCCACATGCACGTGGCGCGGGAGATACGTATAGGTGCAGCCACCATTGCTCGTCAGACATGCCCGTGCGGCCAGCGTGTCTGTCCCTGGCGCAGTCGACGGTGACTCTCTTCCACAGGGTCTGACCCTGCGACAGCGCGGAGGTCAGGTGGGACGCGCCCGCCAGGGTGAACCCCAAGCGGCGCAAGACGTGCGGCCCCAAACTCCCACGCGAGTTCTTGTTCGATGGGCCTGAACTTGAGCATGCTCGTCGCCCGCGCCTCGGCCTGAGCGTCGTTGCCAGCGCTTTCGGCGCCCTGTAGCAGCAGTTCGGCGACCTCCTGGTAGATCGGGGGTTTTTGGAGGTCGCGCAATGTATCCAAATTCCCTGCGGTAGGAAGCGGGGAAAAAACTGGCCCGTTGCGCAGTCCTCATACATACCGCTGCTCGTCTTTTGAATGACATTCGGGAAACACTACGGTGGCCCGTTGCCCCTGCACGAGCCCCAATTTCTTCTTCTGATCCTCCCGCGCGGCTGTGAACCGAACCACCATGCCGACGTGCGCCAGCAAAACCATCCGCGTTTCGGGGACAACGGGCTCCCCCTGCCCCCGGTTCGGCCGCCGATCGGGCACACCCGGCAGCCCAGAGAATTGGGTTTCCCCCTGCCCCCTATTCGGCCGACGATGGGTTGGCACGGCCGTCTCGGACACACGGGCCCGCCTCTGCGCCCAACCGTCGCCGTTGTCCTCGCAGATTCCTGTTCCCCTTCTTCTTCCTAATCCCCCTCCTCCTCCTCCTCCTCCTCCTCCTCCTCCTCCTCCTCCTCCTCCTCCTCCTCCTCCGTTTCATCATCATCATCATCATCAACAACATCAACAACAACATCGTCATCACCATCAACATCATCTTCATCATCATCAGCATCCCCATCCGCATCCTCATCCTCATCATATTCCTCCTCCACTTCCTCGTCCTCTGATGGCTTGAGGAGGTGGCCCGTGACGGCCCGTGGTATGCAAGGTTTTTGTCGCCACCGCCTCGCCGAAACCTGTGTTTTCTGCCACGTGGATTCTTTGGGGACGTAGACCTCTTGGCATTTCTTGCGGCGTTCGGATGCATTCCGAGGGCTTCCGCGCGAGACGTCCCTGCCAGTCACCCGCAGACGAGGCTCCCGCTCGAAAATTCCTCGCCGTTCATTCACAGATGAGGCTCCCACTCGAAACCTCCTCCAGATTCAGGCTTCGGGAACCCAGAAGTGACGACAGCTATAGGTTTGCGGACGGCCTCCTTGGAGTAGGAGCGTTACGTGCACTCCCCATCAGGAGGGGGCTCCCGTCCGAAACTTCTTCGCCATTCACTCACGGGCGAGGTTCCCGCTCGGGACTTCCTGCAGATTCACCTCCACCGCCGCCGTTTGGTCCTTCACCGCCTTCCGCTGGTCCTCGAGCTCCTCCCGCTCCTCCCACCACTGTTCCTGCTGCTGCGGCTGTTCCTTTTCCTCCTCTTCATCTTCCTCCTCCCCCTCATCCTCCACCTCCTCTTCCCCTTCCTCCTCCTCCTCCTCCTCCTCCTTCATCATGCTCCTGCTCATGATCCTGATCACCCGGCACCTCCTCCTCCTCCTCCTCCTCCTCCTCCTCCTCCTCCTCATCATCATCATCATCATCATCATCATCATCATCGTTCCTCCTCCACCTCCTCCTCATGCTCCTCCTCCTCCTCAAGCTCCTCCAATGTACTCAGCTCCCCGTTCTACTTGCGCCTAACTCGATGGGGTAAGTCTGCGATGCCACCCGTCGGCGGACAGCAAACAAATCAGCGCAATGAGATGGGATGGGTGGGAAGGGCAGGATGTCCGACATGGCGCGAGCGCTCCTAGCTCGATAGGAGTACTACTCTCCTCTCTCCCGGGATCCTGTCAGAGGGGCCACGTTTTCTCAGTTGTCTCCCGCATCTTTGTGTTGCGTACAGGGTTTCAAAGTGGATGTTTGATATGGTCTATTCCAATCGGGGCGGTTCTTGTGTTTCGAAATGGTGTTCCCGCTGCAGCGTTGGCTTCGTTTTGTGATCGACGCTTTTTCCGTCGTTCAAAATGGCGATCTCTCCCCAGCTAGGGCCGCCCCACTCTTTCCCCCTCCGCTTTCCACTGGTCCTCCCGCTCCTCCTGATCCTGCTCCTGCTGCGCTCATCATCTTGCTCGTCCGCCACCTCCTCCCCGAATGTACACAGGTCCCCTTTTCCGACTGCGCATGACACGATGGGGTCATTTTGAGGGTTCCAGGTCCGATATGACACTCGTCGGAGGATAGATAAAAGTCAGCGCAACGGGAAGGGACATGTGGGAGGGGTAGGTTGTCAGATATGGCGCGAGCGTACCTAGATTGTCCTACATCCCATCGACCATCCTCTCCACATCCCACCCTCCTCCCCCAGGAGCTGATGGATACGGAGAGCGGAGCGGGGATCGGAACATCAGAACGGCAGCAGGTTCCTCCCCTCTCCTCCGAGGCCCCTTCTGAGCAGCCCGCAGGCGGCTGAGATCGCGTGCAGAAGGGCGCGCAACATGGAGGAGGACCAGGGGGCAGAGCTGCAACGTAAGTAAGCACTGCCGGGGGCATCGGACTTACTTAAAGAGTGCTTGCCCTGGCCGGCCTAACTGGCGTGGGTGGGGAGGGGCGTGAGGTGGGGCGGGAAGATAGGGCTGTCCCGCTCTGGGGTCCCCACCTTTCGTTACTGGCCCGAGGGGATCATCCAGATCCCGTGGCTGCCGTCACCGCGGGGCTCCCGAGACCTGAATATGGAGGACGCCCCAAGCGGGAGGCGGGCCCGTGGGCGAGTTAGTGAGAGGTCTCGAGCGGGAGCCCCCCCCCCCATGTTCGGTTGCGCGCTCTCCCCGCAAGGATGACCCCATGCTCAGGCGGCAGGTGCCCATCGACACCCTCACCGTGCTGTCGGCGTTGCGAGGGCGCGCCGCTCAGGCACGGCACCTCGGCGGAGAGGGAACGCAGGCCCCTCGAGGAAGAGGGCGTGCGTGCGTGAGTTGCGACAGCGCCCGGGAGGGGTTGCGGGGGTCTTTTAGAAGGATTCAAGGTTGCAGGGTGTTACATGTCGGGTTTCCTCCGCCCTCCCTCCCTCCCACCCTTCCCCTCCTTCCCTCCTCCGCCTGCTCCCCATCCGTCCCATACCGCTACGCGACCAGGCAGAGTCTCCAGAGTCTCCTCAGCCTCCTCATCATCCTACTACTCCTCCTTCTCCTCATCATCATCACCATCACCATCATCATCACCATCAGCATCAGCATCAGCATCAGCAGCATCATCATCATCATCATCATCATCATCATCATCATCATGATGATCATCATCATCATGATCATCATCATCATCATCATCATCATCATCATCATCATCATCATCATCATCATCATCATCATCATCATCCCACCTTTCCTAGCCCTCCTTTCGCCCTCAGCCCTCACTTCTCCTCCTCCTCCTCCTCATCCTCATCCTCCTCCTTCTCCTGCTCCTGCTTCTCCTCCTCCTCCTCCTCCTCCCTCCCCTCCCCTTCCTCCTCCTCCTCCTCCTCCTCCTCCTCCCTCCTCCTCCTCCTCCTCCTCCTCATCCTCCTCCTCCTTTTCCTCCTCCCCCCCTCCTCCTCCTCCTCCTCCTCCTCCCCCCTCCCCCTCCTCCTCCCCTCCTCCTAATCCTCCTCCTCTTTTTTTACTCCTCCTCCTGCTCCTCCTCCTGCTCCTCCTGCTCCTCCTCCTCCTCCGTAGCCATTTTGGCTCCAGCTTCATGCCTTCGCTTCGGGCGCTCGCGTGCGGGCCGCGCAGGCGATGGATGGCCGCCGAGCGGCAGATGACTGCAGCCCGCCGCACGGCTGCCCGCGCGGGGCGGCGAGGCAGCCCGACGCTGCGGCGGGCCCGCGCTCGCGGCGCGCCGTGCCAGGCGTGCCGCTGCCCGCGGCGGCGGCGGCGGCTGGTCGCCTGGCGGCGGCGCTGCGGCGGATCGCCGACTCGGAGGCGGAGGTGGAGGGCGTGCAGGCCTCGCGGCCGCCATGCCACGGCTGCAGGCCAGGCTGCTGCCCTCGCAGCCGCCCCCGCCGCATCGCGGCCCGCCGTGAGCGAAGCAGCTGGAGCTCGTCGCCCCGATCCTGGAGGCGGAGCTGGCGGGAGCGACGGCGAGCTCCACGGCCGTGGGACGTCGGAATGTTACGGTTCATCGCCCGACGGTCCCCCGAGCTCACCTGTCAAAGGCTACCACAGTTTGAGCGAAAACAGCCAACATCTTCTTTCAGTTCCGAGTGAAGCCATGGTTCTTATCGGCACCGACGCCAATGCTAGCTCGGGGTCTGCGGTGGATGAGGAAAGCCTCGCCGTTGGATCGTGCGCGCATCACTTACGAATTCCTGACGCACAGAAATGGAAAGCGCGCACGCGGCGCACCTTCATGCTCGAGTACGGCTTCGGGCGGAGAACGTGTTCCACCCGAGCACCCTGGGCCATGCCACGCGCTTCCCTCCCCAGCCGCAGGCACGACAAGGAGACCAAGCAGATCGGTCACGTGCTCAGGAGGGGCTTCGCGGAGGGGGCCCCCACGTGACAGGCGGGGCTGTCGACGTCCATGAACTCGGATCACATCCCTCTTCTTCTCCGCGCTCGCGCCAGGGACCCTCCGGGCGCGAGGCCGCTACTGTCGAGCCACGACCTCCCAAGCCAATCAAATAGACGTGCGACGACCCCACGGCGCACCGGACTTCGCTTGACGGCGCGATCAATGTAGGCATAGTGCATCGCGCGCTCTTTTCCGACGTCGAGGCCTACGGGGCGCTCGTGGACGGTTTGTACTTCAACGGTGCGCCATGGCATCAGGAGCGGAACTGGGACCACCTGGAAGGACGGGCTGGATGGGGTTTCGTGGTTTTCTCGAATGCTAAACCTTGTCCGGGGGCGGAGTTGGTGGCGATGGCGCGTGGACGCCTACATCTGGGGCCCGAGCAGGAACTCCACTTGGGAGCGATGCGCGAAACGAAAAGCACCGAAACACCCGAACTGACTTGACTGCCCTTGTCGAGGCCCTCTTCGGGTCTCACCAGGTCTCCTTACCCGACCGGGAGCGCGCAGTACCCCGGGGGCGAAAATCAAGTTCATCTTCGAGTCCAGGCACGTTCAGCATATCATCTGGGAGCGATGGGTGCCGCGCTCGAAGTTCAGCTTGGTCGCCACCTCATTGACCGCGTGGCAGCTGCCGCAGCGGCACCGCCAGATCGGCCTGCCAGAGCGGCGGGAGAGACACGCCAAGGACCCCGGCAACGAGTTCGTGGACAAGCTGGCCAAGGAGGGGGCGGGCGATCGACCGACCCACCGAGCGAGACTAACCTCGAGAGACTGTGCGACCCCAACGTGTCGTCACCACACACGGTTGGAGAAGATGGCGCCCTGGACAGCTCCAGACAGCCAGGCGCCGAAGTAAGACGGCTCCCCCGAGGTTCGCCCTCACTGGCCCGTTACCAGTACCTCGTGCGCTGCCGAGTTCTCCGGAACACAGAAAGCGCCGGGGCGATCGCTGCGCGGCAAGCCCGCCAGCGCCGGAGGACCTTTTGAACCGCGACCACGAGCAGGCGAATCACAGCGAGTGCGAGTTGGCGGACCTCGAGTTCCACCCACTCACGGACGAGTTGGGCAGGCCCCTCCCTACCATCGGGGAACTTACCACGCTGGTACGATCAGCAGGACATCGATGGGGCATCTTCGGTCTAAACGCCCTCCACCGGAGAAAATCGATGGCGAACTTCAGGGGCAGTTGCGGGCGTGCCAGCTGTTACGGAGAACCGCTTCTAATCCTCGGGTTCGGCACCTTTTCTGTCTACCTGAAGTTGCGCTTCGTTGTCGGGCGTCGTTGGCCCTCTTTGAACGCGAATGCGCATGGGCGCTGCAAGCTGGGAGGGGAGGTTTCGGCGCAACCTTCAACGCGGCAGGGCAGGCCACTCAGTGCTCGCGGGCCCCTCACGGCGGAGCCAGACGATCGTTTCTATAGTTGAGGAGTTCTTCGAGGACCTGCACCAGACCCGGGAGGCGAAGCCCCTCCCGCCTCGGCCGAGCAGGCGCTGGCCCAGAGATGAGTTGCACAGGGCCGGGGGGATCGCGGCGGCCAAAGTCCGGCAAGCCACCCAAGCCATGCAGAGAGGGGGGTCTTGCCCTGGGCATGAGCTGGGGAGGTCTCGCCCCGGGCATGAGATGGCCACCGTGGAGATGTGCCAGGATGCCTCCGAGGACTGTTTGGAGATTGCCGCGGCGCTCTTCGAACTGCGTCTGTTGAGCGGCCCGCCCACGCGCGGGCCATCTCCACGGGGCGGGCGCGATGCGCGCCTCATCGAACAAATCACGCGAACCCCAACTCCATCGAGCAGCGGCGCCCGATCGCGGTTTTAGAGGTCCTTGCGATGGCGTGCCTGGGCGTCATTCCTGACTTCGGCGGCGCGGCGCGGGCTCCGCCCTCGCCGAGCCAGTTCGCGTTCAGGCCGGGCCATCGCGCGGCGGAGGGGCGCGTCATCTTCGGGCAATTCACCGACAAGGCCCTCGAATTCAACGGGCCCCTGCGCTCGGATAATGAGGGCCGCGCGAGTGCCGCGACTGCATATCAACCACGGCGCGTGGAGCCATGCCTGCAACACCGCGGGCGTTCTGGACATCGGCGCGGCAGGTGTGGGCCAGGGAGCTCCGGCGAGGCAAGGGGAGGCTCTGCGTTCGGGCATAGCCAGGACCCTGCCTGGGCAAGGGGGCCCGGTTAGTGGCAGGGCCCTGGGGCCCCTCAATTGGCCAGTTTCACTAAACCAGGTTTGCCGTAACTGGTGTTTTTCTGGCGACGGCAGTTCTGGCTAGCGGAAATGGGGCGGGGGGGCGCCCCCGGTCCAAATCACTAAACCAGGTTCCACTAACCCGGTTCTGCCAACGCCCGATGCTTGCCGAAAGCGCGGCCCCCCAGACCATTGGGTCGCGCCAGATCCACTCGCCAGGGATATCGGGGCGGCCCGAAGAAATTCAACGCAATCACGGAGCAGGCTTTGGCACTATATACCATGCCTGGAAGCTTGCAGGAGAATCGATCGGGGCCAAAGGACCGCCACGCCCGCCTCCCGCTCCTGGCGTTCGCCGACAACTATTGGATCACAAGACGCACTCGCGCCATGCTCCAGGCCATGACTGATGAGTGGCACCGCCTATGTAGAGACCATGGTTGGCGGGTGGATCAATCCGCGGCGTCGCCGGCGGCGTCCGTCGATCAGGCGGCGGACCACGACCTGCAGGACTTCTGGGCCCCCTGGACGAGAGTGGCCAGCCCAGACCGAAACGACCTCGCAAAAGCAGCGGGCACACTGCACACCCGAGGCGTGCGATCCCGCTTACGCCGAGGGGGGGGTTCAAGGTCTTGGGACACGCGCATGCCTTCGACAACGACGCGTCGGCGGAGGTGGAAAGAAGACCACGGGCAGCCTGGAACCCTTTTTTCGAAACACTGCCGTTTGATTTGTTCGAAAGCGGAAACGGCGGCAAAGCTTTTGCGGCTCCTGCGCAAGCCCCCCCCCCCCAGCCCTCGCGCTCAACGCGGGCGCGCTGCGCATGGCCCAGAGGCACCCGCAGGGCATCAGGGCAGCCCAGATCGTCGTGAAGAGGAGGGCTATGAAGAGGAAGGTTCCTTGGAAATGCCCCCCTTTCTGGGGAGAGGCGCCCAGGGCAACGATGCTGGAGCGGCGGGGGGGTCGGCCTGGAACGACGGGACAAGGTCCGTCGATCCACGGTCTACGATTGGGCGGGCTATGCGGCGAGATTTGGCAAGCATCAACTGGACAGGCTGACCTGGGAAGTCTTGCAATGGAGGGGCGTCAACTACCTCACTCTGCTGGAGACGAACTACGGGCAACAGTGCTACGTGAGGAAGTTCTGGGCATGGAGATGGGAGATGCAGT